GAGTTACATTTTAATGAATACAGGAAATATAGAGATATACAGCGAGGTGCCCGTGTGACCGCGGCGGGATGTCACCGACATATACTATAGCGCTGCATTACCATCCCCCGATATCATTAGGACGGGAGGATTACACTGAATGATGGATTCACATGTTCCGGTGCGCTATCACATGTTGCATGATTGCGTGTTGTGTTATCACATGTTGCATGATTGCGTGTTGTGTTATCACATGTTGCGTGATTGCGTGTTGTGTTATCACATGTTGCATGCTTGCGTGTTGTGTTATCACATGTTGCATGATTGCGTGTTGTGTTATCACATGTTGCATGATTGCGTGTTGTGTTATCACATGTTGCATGATTGCGTGTTGTGTTATCACATGTTGCATGATTGCGTGTTGTGTTATCACATGTTGCATGATTGCGTGTTGTGTTATCACATGTTGCATGATTGCGTGTTGTGTTATCACATGTTGCGTGATTGCGTGTTGTGTTATCACATGTTGCATGATTGCGTGTTGTGTTATCACATGTTGCATGATTGCGTGTTGTGTTATCACATGTTGCATGATTGCGTGTTGTGTTATCACATGTTGCATGATTGCGTGTTGTGTTATCACATGTTGCATGATTGCGTGTTGTGTTATCACATGTTGCGTGATTGCGTGTTGTGTTATCACATGTTGCATGATTGCGTGTTGTGTTATCACATGTTGCATGATTGCGTGTTGTGTTATCACATGTTGCATGATTGCGTGTTGTGTTATCACATGTTGCATGATTGCGTGTTGTGTTATCACATGTTGCATGATTGCGTGTTGTGTTATCACATGTTGCATGATTGCGTGTTGTGTTATCACATGTTGCATGATTGCGTGTTGTGTTATCACATGTTGCATGATTGCGTGTTGTGTTATCACATGTTGCATGATTGCGTGTTGTGTTATCACATGTTGCATGATTGCGTGTTGTGTTATCACATGTTGCATGATTGCGTGTTGTGTTATCACATGTTGCGTGATTGCGTGTTGTGTTATCACATGTTGCATGATTGCGTGTTGCGTTATCACATGTTGTGTGTTGTGTTATCACATGTTGCGTGTTGCGTTGTGTGACCTAAGACAGACCGTTCCTATGAATGAGCTGCGACGCATCAAAACGTCCCCGAGACGCACCTGAGGCTTTTTTGGCGCCTGTTATAGTAACGCTAAAGGTATACAGATGTGATACACGCC